TGATTATGAGATTCTCACGTTCTACAGTCCACGTCATCTGCATGAATTTAGGCTATAGTCCACACTATCTGCATGAATTCAGGCGGCCGACCCCGAATCTCCTAAAATTTTGCGGACCCATAAAAAACGACATAATGAATAATAGCCATCACTTCACCATGACTGTTCCTCATTTTTGGCGCTTTAGTGCCATAAAACAGGAATTCATGACGATTCGCGGATTTTTGTGTGATATAATTCACGCCATGTACATGAATTGTAGTGACCGGTCCCGAATCTCCTATAATTTTTCAGGCTCATCAAAAACTGCCTAATGAACAACAGTCATTGATCCGCAATGACCTTCCTCATTTTTTTGGCATTTTAGGGCCATAAAAAAGAATTCAGGAAGATTCATGGATATTTTTGTGCTATAATCCACGCCATATGCATGAATTCGAGCAATCGTTCCTGAATCTCCTATAATTTTGCGGGTCCAAAAAAAAGACCTAATGAAAAATTATCATTGCTTCGACATGAACGTTTCTACTTTTTAGCGTTTTAGGATCGTAAAACAGTAATTCAGGACGATTCACGAATCTTCGTGTGCTATATCCACGCCATATGCATGAATTCGAGCGACCGTCCCTGAATCTCGTATAATTTTGCGGGCCCATTAAAAACAAGTTAATGAACAGTAGTCATCGCTTCGCCATGATTGATCCTCATTTTTTGTCATTTTAGGGCCATAAAACAAGAATTCAGGACGATTCCAAAATGTCTGTGTGCTATCGTCCAAGCCATCTGCATGAATTCGAGCGATCAACCTCGAATCTCCTAAAATTTTGTGGGCCCATAAAATATAACCTAATGAACAATTGTCATTGCTTCGCCATGACTGTTCTTCGTTTTTTGGCATTTTAGGACCATAAAACATGAATTCAGGACGATTTCCGAATTTTTGCGTGCTATAGACCACGCCATCTACATGAATTTTGACGACTGACCCCGAATTTTTTAAAATTTTGTGGGCCCATAAAAAATGACCTAATGAACGATAGTCATCGATTCGCCGTGATTGTTCCTCGTTTCTAGCATTTTTAGGGCCATAAAATAGGATTTAGGACGATTGTCACTAGATTGTTTCCTATGAACCTGATAAATTTTAGGCTAATCGAAGTCCATAAAAGAAATTCTACAGTATCAATATGTACATTAACAGGCGAAAATGTGGATATAATGATAAATTCGTATTGCATGACCTCAAAATACCAAAAGATGAACCTGAAAGTCATAGTAAAACGATACGTATTAGTTACTAGGCTGTTTCTTATGGGCATACAAAATTTTAGGTCAATCGTAATCCGCTAAAAAATTCACAAAATCAGCATGTAGTAATACACACGAAAAAAATCAATATAATCACAAATTCATATTGCATGACTCCAAAATACTCAAAAATGAACCCGAAAGTTATGACGAAGTGATAAATATTGATCACTAGGCCGTATCATATGGACCTATAAAATTTCAGGCCAATTGAAGTCCGTCAAATTTTTTTTACAAAATCAATATGAACTAATACACATGAAAAAGTGAATATTATCATAAATTCGTGTTGCATGACTCTGAAACACAATAAAATGAACGTGAAAGTCATGGCGAAGCAATGAACATTAGTTACTAGGCCGTTTCCTAAATCTACGAAATTCCAAGCCAATTTGAATCCGTCAGATTTTTATTTACAGAATTACCGTGTATTAATACAAAAAAAGTTAGATATAATCACATTCGTATTGCATGACCCCAAAATACTAAAAATGAACCCGAAAATCATGGCGAACGATAAGAATTGGTCACTACGCTGTTTTTTCTACGGACCTACAAAATTTTAAGCCAATCGAAGTCCGTCAATTTTTTATTATATAGAATCAATATATACTAATACACACGAATATGTGGATATAATCAAAAATTCGTATTGCATGACTCAAAATACCAAAAAATGAACCCGAAAGTCCTGGCAAAGCGATAAGTATTGGTCACTAGACAGTTTCCTATGGACCTACGAAATATTAGGCCAATCAGAGTCCATCAAAAAAATTCTATAGAATCAACATATATTAATATAATCACAAATTCCTGTTGTATGACCCCAAAATAAAAAATGAACCCGAAAAGCCAAAAGATGATGTTAGCCATGGCAAAGCCATGAGTATTGGTCACTAGGCCATTTCTCATGGACCTACGGAATTTCGGGCCAATCAGAGTCCGTCAAAAATATTTTACAAAATCACATACACATATTTTAAATCAGTTATGAGTATTGTATTCAACTAGCTTCTCACACAAAATGAAACATAGGAGTGAAAAAACAACTTGAAAACCAAGCTGTCGCCATCAAATCCAATTCAACGAAAAAATCGTAGCAGTTACTCTCATGCAAGAATAAATGATCTCCTACGATTAATTACATCAAAAGAAATGATCCTCCAAAAATCTTATGCTACTTACCAATCTCATGCATTATTTTTTACCGATCTTATGTCAAATGACCATACATCTGAAAGAACAGTAATAATGTCATAAAATGGATCTCTCCAGCTCAGGGGATTGCTGCATAAAGGTTAACGTCTCTAAATTCTGCCCAATGTAGGTTAGTGTTGAACCAAATTCCACATAGTAATGATCTTAATAAAGTCCATAAAGAGGCTACAAATAGTGAACTAAACTAACGACATAATCCTCTTTTGCAAGTCAAAATAGAAATGACATTCAATTAAGAATTAACAAAACATTCGTTTAACAAGAAGATTTAACTTATATACACCAGCACCGTAAGTTTCATTTAACTATCAATGTAATTTAACAGTAACATGTTACCTGCCTTATTTTTAGGTTACTACTTACATTTAGTTCAGAGTTACTTGTAGTTATCTTCGATATTACTACCTAATAGCGTAAAAAATCTTTTATACAGCTACTATAAAGAAGTCAAAACTCTTGAAACAATACATGCTTGAAGGTCAACATGTTCATGATGCATAGCAACTCTAGCTTGGAAGTACATAAGTGGGTAGAAAATTCCCCATAGTGGTGAAACCAATTACAGAAACTTTTAAGATTGAAAAGAAGCACGATTAATGAGACAGCTAAAAGAATTGCTTATGATACAAGGTCAACTATAGGTGCATTTGCTGAGCTACATTGTAAAGAATGTTTCCTATTTTTGGTTTCATGCTTACAATAGAAAAAAATCATCAGAAATTGCAGCTTTATTGATGAAAAAGGTAAAATGGAACTTACACATTAGGTACAACATAAATGCCAAAGGTTATTTCAAAGTCTTGGATCTGGACATAACCACATATCCTTTATCCTTACAGAGGTTGGATCATGTGTATCTCGTATCCTGAGTGCTACCTGCACAACAATAGTTAAGCCAATAATCCTGTAAAGCTCTCTTTGGGATAATAAATTAAGGACGAACATAATCTGGCAAAGAAACTAAAGGTTATCCTAATTGAACAAAGTTTAGTACTTCTGTAGACAAATTATAGACATTCCAACTATTCACTCCTTATTAGCCTTCAATCTATTAGCTTTCCCTTGTTTCGACACCACTGCTGGATAATGCTGACTTCTGTACAAACATTGGTTCTGGAAAGCCACTGAAGGGACGTGATAAGATTACTGATAATCAGAATGTCACTAGGCTTTTGCAAATAAGATTTCACAGACTAGATGGTTGGTTTTTATCTAGGCGAAATATATAAACGGCCCCTTCAAGTTGTCCTCAACGACCAACTGAACACCTCAACTGAGCCTATTTTCAGTTGGACACTTCTTCTCCAATAAAGTACGACCTCGTGAACCCTTCACGTTGACATGGCAAAGTGTGTGCTTTATACTCAATTCTAAGCGCGTGAAACCCTCAAAATTAAGGTTTTTTTTTTCTTTCTTTTAAATTTAACTTTATTTTATGTGGGTCCCATTATATTTTATTTTTCACACATTAATTTCTCTTTCTTCCCAAAATATTTCATCTTCACCAAACCTCTTCTTCACCACATCTAAATCAAACAAAATCCACATTTTTAAATTTTAATCAGTTACAACAATAAACAATCTGATCCATGAATCCGGTAACCAAATAATTGAGGTTGGCATATCTCTTTGGGTAGGGAAAGTTAATACAAACTTAGCCTCTTTTCTTCCTTTCTTCTTAACAAAACCACCTTAACCCACCATGAAACTACCATAGAGGGAAGGAAATTTTTTCACATCTGATCTTGATTGAGTTTACCAAAAAAGGCAGAGTTGTTGCCCCCTTGTCTATTCTCATTGCAGTAGAAAGAAAACAAAAAAAATGATCTCCATTGCACAGATTTCTCCATTTTGACAATGGAGGTTGCATAATGAGCTTTGACAATGGAGGATATGACTGATGCAGAAGAAGATGGAAGATGAAAGGGAGGGGGAAGGGGGAGGGCGGAAGGGGGAGGGGATAGGGATAGTGCTGCTCTTTACAAAAGTTAAGGAAGAATGTTTCTATTTCATTTTTAATATATATTTTTTTTAAACTATGTGTCAATTTTTTATTCCAATTGATACGTGTCGTTTTTTAATTGGCTCATTTGACACATCATTGGCAAGTATAACCCACGCATAAAGTCTTCAGCACTCGGGTGTTTACTTGATACACTTAATAAACACTTGAAGTGTCTAAATGGTAAATGGATCAGTTGGGATGTTCAGCTGGTCGTTAAGGACAATTTGAACGGATTATTTATGTATTTCGCCTTATATGTTTAATGTGTCTCTTAGCAGTGATCTATTTTAATATATAGTAGTAATAGATATATATCATCTTTATGAAAACTAAGACGTAATATCCTCTTAAAGTAAATATATTATTCAAACTAATAATTGTGTAAGATTTTCATTTTCATAATATAGAAGGTGTAAGCTTTTTATTTTAAAATACCACACGTGTATAACCCTTTTGAATATTAGCTTGGACCTTTTCCATAAATCTAAACATTTTTCATTGGTAAGAAGAGTCGCAAACTGCAGATCCTTTATACTACCTAATTCTGAAATGTGAGATAAATCTGAGATTTTGTCAGCTCGCCGGATCTCTCATTGATCTTCAAGTCAATCAGTTGAGTATTGTTAAGAGTGTGATAAACAAGGAGAGGAGCATGAGGCCGATGAATTTGGTGGCCAGAGATCGAATTGAGGCATTTGTTTCATTTTTCGTCACTCTTCTTCCCCACGAGCTCTCCGCTTTGCTTTACTCCACCTCCACTTTTTTCTTTGTAAGCAAGACCTCTCTCTCTCGAATCTCAATTTCTTCATCAATTCCTCAGAAACATAATTTACCAATCTTTCTCTGGACTCATTTGAGTCAACCTTCTTCTTGGTTTAACGGATTTACTTGCTTCATTTAATGATTAATAATATGCGCAGATGAAATCAGTATTTTAAATCATCAAATTAGATTTTTAATTTTTAATTTTTGATATATGCAGATTTTGAGTGCATATTTCGTGGTGCTTCCTTTACGTGATGAAGGAGCTATATCTTTAGGCTTGGGGAATCTGCCGAGCTTGTTTGTTGGATCCTTGCTACTCACACTGGTCGCTGCCCCTGTTTCCACCTTAATCTTTGCATTGCCTAATCTTTCCAAGTCCATGGTAATAAATAACTGACTAATTCCTTCATTTATATATGTTTTTCTTTTTCACTGAATATTGTTAATCTAATATGCGTCATACATAGATGAAGGGACTAGTCTAGTATACTTACCACCTTGTAGGTCTTTTACAAAAATATTCAAAACAAAAGGGGAAGAGAATCATAGATCATAAGTTTTTCATATGCATCGAGCCTCACACTCCTTTACCTAAGCTATAAGTTTTAATTTTTTTTATACGCAGCAAGTTGTCAGAAGCTCATTTAAGGTGCGCGTAAGCCCTAAAGCTCAGAAAAGCTCAGGCAGCGCGGTTCGCCTGGCTTAAGTTGCGCTTCGATGTAGGCAAGACACTAGGTTGTGCGCCTCATTGCCCATGAGTTCTATCTTGAAGCAAGCGGTACTAAACGACACATATAATTGCCAAATTAGTGTATTAGTTGTTAAGAAAAACGTTATGAATGCATTTGTTACTTTTTTCTTGAATTACATTTTGTTTTTATTTTTTCCCTACATTGCGCTTTTTTTTTTAATCCTAAAACTTTAATCGGGCTTTGCGCTTAAAGCCCCAGTAGACATGTAGCGTTTTTTAGAGCTTTTCGCCTTTGACAACACCACCACCCTGCTGCTCAAGCAGGCACTTGCAATTAGAGATAACATGTGAAAATTTGTGCTTTCCAGATAAGACCAGTGGATTTAATTACCATAAGGTGCTAGTTTTAGGCCCTGTTGGAGTACTAGTAATTCTGCACGAGTGTGTGTTGTCTCTATTAGGCTTTTAGCAAAGCCTATAATCCCTTCCCCATTTGCATTTCGAATAACTCCTCCTATGCCTCCATGCCTAAGATTAGTGTTTGCAGCACCATCAGTATTAAGCATGAAGTAGTATTCTTTTGGTGGTTTCCATTTGACCACAATAGACTAATGTATTGTACCGGTAAATTTATTGGGTCATATATACAACAACAACAATCCAGTAAAATTCCACCAGTGGGTTCTGGGGAGGGTAGAATGTACGCAGACCTTATCCCTACCCTTGAGGGGTAGAGAGGTTGTTTCCGGGAGACCCTCAGCTCAGATACAATAGATCTGTGACAACAAAACCCAAAATATAATCAGCAGCGTGAGAGACAACAAATAAATGGAAAAGCAGTAACACAAATATTATGCAAAGGTGTGAAACACAACATAAATCGCTAGCAGTGCTAGACAAAACACTATCGTACTCATCGGTACAAAGAGGGAAACCGGGACAAAGAGGAAAACCGCTCGCCTACCCTTTAACCTACAACCCTAATGCTCGACCTCTACACCTTCCTATCAAGATCCATGTCCTCGGAAATCTGGAGCCGCGCCATGTCCTGTCTGATCACCTCGCCCCAATACTTCTTGAGCCGCCCTCTACCTCTTCTCGTACCTGTCAAAGCCAACCGCTCATACCTCCTAACCGGGGCATCTAGGCTTCTCCTCTGCACTTGTCCGAACCATCTAAGTCGCGCTTCCCGCATCTTGTCGTCCACCGGAGCCACGCCCACCCTCTCCCGAATATCTTCATTCCTAATTTTATCTAGCCTAGTGTGCCCACACATCTATATCAACATCCTCATTTCTGCTACTTTCATCTTCTGGACATGTGAATTCTTGACTGGCCAACACTCAGCCCCATACAACATGGCCGGTCTAACCACCGCTCTATAGAACTTACCTTTGAGTTTCGGTGGCACATTCTTGTCACACAAGGCTCCAAACGCTAAGCTCCATTTCATCCACCCCACCCCAATATGGTGCGTAACATCCCGTCGATCTCCCCACCTCCATGGATAATTGACCCTAAGTACTTAAAACTTTCTCTCTTGAGGATTACCTGTGAGTCAAGCCTGACTTCCACATCCGCTTCCCCCGTCACGTCGTTGATCTTACATTCCACATATTCTGTCTTAGTCCTACTCAACTTGAAACTTTTAGACTCCAGGGCCTGCCTCCATAAGTCTCCCATTAACGCCGCCTCGCGTCTCATCAATCAGAACTATATCATCAGCGAACAACATACACCATGGCACCTCTCCTTGGATATGGTGTGTCAGTGCGTCCATCTCCAGGGCAAATAAGAACGGGCTGAGCGCAGATCCTTGGTGTAACCCCATAACCACCGGAAAAGGCCCTGAGTCACCTCCCACGATCCTAACCCGAGTCATAGCTCCATCATACATATCCGTTATCACCCTAATGTAATCCACCGACACACCTTTCACCTCCAGACACCTCCAAAGGACGTCCCCGGGGACCTTGTCATACGCCTTCTCTAGGTCAATAAACACCATATGCAAATCCCTCTTCCTATCCCTGTATTGTTCCATCAACCTCCTGATAAGGTGGATAGCTTCCGTAGTAGAATGACCCGGCATGAACCTGAACTGGTTTTCCGATATAGACACCGCCCTCCTTATCCTCCTTTCCACCACCCTCTCCCAAACTTTCATGGTATGACTTAGTAACTTTCATGGTATGACTTATTGGGTCATATATGTATTTGATAAATGATAATTGTGCCTAGTTGGTATAATATTGAATTTATCTGTGATAGCAAAATGATCTGGCTATATTTTTATAAATGATAAGCAAGAAACTGCAAATCTTGACACTCTACGACATAAGGATATCAAATTATACACGCTGTTTTGTTGTCTAATGCTGTGAATTAGCTTCAGTTACTTACTAGCCTTCTTGTGTGGTGAAACCAACTTGGAACTTTGGAAACTGATTTAGGGTTGTTTTGGGCTTTTTATATGTCATCTGTAATGGTCGCTTCTTTAAATTCCAGGCTTTGGTCTTGATACACAGGTTTTTTGGGGTCACTCTTGTTGCATTCTACGTCTTGTGGCTTTCTTCTACTCCCGGAAGTTCACCATTTAATATCAAGGTACAACTTCACGATTTGGCCGCCACTTTTTGATGATTCAGTCAACTGTTTTGATGAAAAATGATAATAATGCAGGGACTGTTCTCTGTGTCCTCAACCATAAAACAGGAATTAAAAGTGGAAGCCAGTCACAGGGATACTCCAAACTCAGCGAGTTGGAGCAACCATGGGTGGTTTTACGTGTCAGTGAGAATTGGCTTGTTTCTCTGGGTAAATGCTTTGGCTTTAATTCTCAACTATTGCAAAAACTTCTAGTAGTATTTTTTTTATCGATTCTTTGATGCTTGTCTCCTGAATAAGGTTCTTGCATCATTGTTTCTCAGGTTGCTTTGCTTAATCTTATTACTATATCTTCAACTTGGGCTAGAGTTATTGATGTGATGGATAGTGAGGTAATTATGCCTCCGATTGATTCAATAAGTTTAAACAGATATCACCTCCTACAGAAGGGAAGTTAAATAGATTTAATTGAGTACCTTGCTTTAATGGTTGTAAATTTTGAGATACGATTTAACTTTTTCCTTATGCAGTCAGGTTCAAGATTGTTTGGGTTTATTGGTGCTGGTGCTACACTTGGCCAGCTGCTTGGTTCACTATTTGCAACGGGAATGGCTTGGTTAGGACCGCGTGTGTATCTCTTTATGTTTTTTCTTGCTTCCTTATTCTTATTATTCTTTTGAGGCTCTTTTCCTTTCTATTTTCTTAGTAGTTTGTTTTTTGGTTCTTGTAGATTTACTTCTTGTTTCAGCAATTCTCATGGAACTTGCTGCACAGTCATCAAAAGGGATCAAGAAAGATGTCTTACAACTACCTGAAGAACTATCTCCCTTCAGGTTGTCTTCTTCTTGTTGTTCTTGTTCTTCCCTGATCGGGAGTATTATTAGAGTTTATTAGCAATAGAGTTGTTCCATCATATGAGATTAGTGAAAGAGGTCTCTAATTGTATGATCAGCTCCCTCGATAGCTCCTTCGATTCAAGCAATTAGAGCTATTTCTCTAGCCTCTATCAGCCTTTGGATGGCTGTCTCATGTTTCTTACCCTGCTGTTATAGTGCTATGCAGTGGTGCACATAGGAATTTATGTAAGCAGTGTCATATTTAATAAAGTGAACAAATGGAAAAAAATTACTATAAAAACTATCTTAATAAAAAACATTCAAATACATTAATAAAATATATGTCTTCAACAACTTTTCTTTTTCTTGAATAAATAATACGGGATTTTTTAATAATTTATTGAGAAATTTGAAAAAGAGTTCTTGATTTTAAAATTCTTTATCCTTAATAATGAAGTTTTTTTAGAGCAATGATTCATTGTCTTTTTGGTTTTAACTTTCTTTCTTGGATTTCTGAACTGTCTTTCCATGTTCAGTGTCATTTCAAGACTTTTCTCAGTTATAAAAAGGGAAAAATGTCTTGACGAAGCACATGTTATTTTAAGACTCTTCTTAGTTATGAAAAGAAAAGAAAAACTGGATGAAGCACAGCTGGAGAATCTAAACCGTGTCAACACATTTGTGTAGTAATCCAATGTTATTGCTTGAATGGAGCACCTCCCTTGGTCAATTGATGTTATTCTAGTCTTATTTATCTGTTATTTCTTTTCTAATTTGTCATATATAAATATATTTAGTGAATTTTTCGGCGAAGAGGTGTCACGTGACAGCACTTGTATCCATGTGCATCCGCCCCTGGTGTTATTCCTGTTTTGCAGTTGCATCGGTGTCTCATCCATCTCTGGGTGATGCACTTCTTTATTAGTGAAAGTTCTCTCTATGGTGACATCATTTTGCCTAGTCTAGTTGAGTCATGGTGTAAGTTCGATATAGATCTTTCACAGCTCCCTTTATTTATTTTCTTTTGGGATACGGAAGTGTTTGATCTGGCAGGAAATGCTTTTTACAAGAAAAACTGGAAAAAGAGATAGATGCTGTACCTACAAGTTACCATGAACCTAATATCTTTATCTGTGCTACATAGAGTTTGATAGTCCTGGAGTATAAAGAGGATGACATTCATTTAACTCCTTAAAGAACACACCGTACTGGCATACCAATGATTGTAAATCTGTCTTGATATGTGCTTCCTCTACACTTTACCAATTGAATACATCTCTCTAGACATTAATACCTCCCTCACAAATTAGATAAAATGTTTATACTTCGGTTGAACACAAATTAGATAAATCCTTTTGACTAGCATGAAGATTTTACAGACTAGCAATGAAATAGAGGTGCTTTATATGAATGTCCTTGCACTGCCCCCCCCCCCCCCCCCCCCCCAAAAAAAAAAAAAAATAATTAAGAGAAATTATAATCCAGTAGTCTCTGACCTTTGTCGTTTTGGATTTTAGAGAAGCTGATATCGATCAAGCCAAAGAGGACGAGAATGAATCAATGCTCGCACAGAGAACAACTTCCCCAAAATCGCCAGCTTCTGTAGCAAAGCCTCAGCTCTGGGCTATATTGGACGGGTTAAAGCTAATTCTATCTTCGACTTACTTGTTGCACGTATCATTATTCCTTTGGCTGAGTGCGGTTGTTTCCTCGTTTTTTTACTTTCAGGTACAATAAGAATTTCCTTTGATTTAAGTGACAGAATGGATAAGCATGTGTAATGTGGTGCCTTTATGTGATTTACTGATCTCACATAGATGACCGCCTTTTTGAAAGACCAGCTTACGGTTACTGCAGCCTCACCCCCCACCTTTTCATTCTTTTGCAGAAAGTAACTGTTATTGCTGCTGCAGTAACAGATCCCACTGGTAGAAGGAGATTATTTGCACAGATCAATAGCTTTATTGCTATTTTTATCCTTGCTGGACAACTTACTTTGACGGTATGGCGTAGATGTATAACATGCAAAAGTTTAATTGCTAAGCTAATCCTTTTTTCCCCCTTGTGCATGTGTCCATGTTACCCGGGGAAGAGGGGAAGGGGGTATTGAGGGCATATTCTTTAAAAGTGTGTTCAATCTCTCTATGCTACTTGAACAACTCTAATTCAAAATTTCTCTTATCTGCTCTCAAATTTGATGGAGGGATTGAATGGAGCCTGTGGTGAAGGCTTCTTCCTCTCCAGATGTTCTTGTCATATTGCACCACTTTCCTCATCTGAGTTCCACCATAGAATATAAACTACATCTGTCACTTGGGGGTGTGTAAGAGTGTTTAATATCACGTTGGTAATATCAGTTCCAGGTGAATCAGTGGTGGATTTTGAAGGATCCCAAAGAGTTCCCATGTATGCAAAGTCAGATTAAGTAGAACTTTAAAGTGATAACATATGGACAGTCTTATAAGTTGATCAGTTTCCTAGTGTCTTGAATTGCAGGTCCCTTCTTTTGTTTTTCTCTATGTTTACAACATGTTACATGATTCATTTAATTGTATCTCCAGTGCCACAAGTTCTAAAAGTCTTTATTCACTGCGTGGTTGCAGGGGCGCATCCTTACTTTTGCTGGTGTCACTCTAGCCATTTGCTCCACACCTTTTGTTGCATTCACAAATTTAATTGCTTTAGCAGTATGGCCTACATGGATTACAGTGGCTGTCTCAGAAACCCTGAGGAAGGTATTTTTTCTTCACACCTTTTTCCGAACCTCTAAAGAGAAGTAATAAAAAATGATGACAAGAGAAGTTGTAAAGGAGGAAGCGCTCCTTCAGGGGTTTGTACCATTTTTAGTTGGAATACGTCAATAGCCCCTAAACTTGGCACAGCTCATTCAACGTACATCTAAGCTTTTCGTAGTCCTTATTACCCCATATATTTGGCTAGTTGATAGCCTCGACCTCCCTGAATCTCGCCTGATGGAGGTAAGAGCCACCGCAGCCATGCGGATTTTTTGTCTATGTTGTATTCTTTATTAAAAAAAATATTTTTACCTTTTAAAACTGATTAATTTTTTGATCATTTTTCTCGGGCGAAATTTGTTAAGAACTTGGCTAGACCTCCATTATTTTGGCTAAAACTTCTTTATTTGACTGCAAATAATGGAGTTTCAGCCAAAACTTTTTACTGATTTGGTCCGGAAAATAAGATATACACAGTTGAAACAAAAATTCATTGCATCCAAAGAAGAAATAAAAAGAAATACACAATTGCAACTCCATTATTTTGGTTATTATTTGGCAAAACTAATGGAATTTCTGCCAAACTTTTTACGGATTTGGCCAGAGAAAAAGAAATACACAGTCTGAAAGAAATAGTCATTGACTCATTGCATCTAAAGAAGAAATAAAAAGGGATGAACAGATGGAATATATTTTGGCTAAAACCTTTTCTATTTGGTTAAAGTTAGAGTTTCAGCCATGGTTTTTACATATTTGGTCCAAAAAAGTACATAGTTGGAACAAATAACCTTCTTCTAAAGAAGAAATAAAAAGAAATACAAAATTAGTGTAAAATATGCATTGTATATAAAGAAGTAAGGAGAAATACACAATTGGAACAAACAACCATTGTAGATGACTGTGTGAAAATTAATGGTCGGAAAATACTCCACCTGGAAGCTGACTTTCCGATTTTAGTGTATCCACACTTCTTGCTACATCAGCATCAAGGAGGGTCGAGACTATCAGATAGCCAAGTATATGGGGGTAACCAGAAATATGCGAAGTTTAGGTGTGCCGTGTGCGCTAAATAAACCGTGCCAAGTACAGGGAGGTAATGAGGTATTCTACCATTTTAGTTTAACAGGGATCTAACAGGTTTCGCAATGAAAAAAAGATAAGTAGGGGTACACTTATGCAATTGAGCCCTATATGTTGTTGTCTTTTATGGTTAGGTGGTCACGTATGTTGTTACCAGGCCTGGAAGGGAGCTTCTTTTTACTGTTGTCTCACAGGATGAGAAGTATAAAGCAAAGGTATGTCACAAAATAATGACCTGAAAGATTATCATAATTCCATATTATATATTAGCAGCAGGCTGTATTATGAATATCCTGTCTGTAGGATTTCTTGATCTTCATTTCTTAGATCTTTTCGAGAAGATATGGCAAAGCTGGTAGGTTAACATCCTTTTTATTAGGCCCGCATAAGGATTTTCGTGGTTGCAATAGTTGGCAGTGGCCAGTGAGTGTTCTCTTGAATATCCCTAGCAGTAGAATGATTCTGTTGTTTTTTTTTTGCGGGGGCCAACGTGCCTATGCAGGTATGCATAGATGTGATTGTTCAAAGACTTGGAGATGCTACAGCAGCTGGAATGTACAAGCTACTCTTCAGCACTCTCAATGGCAAGGCATCAGCTGTTTCTCTATATGCCCTACCTGTATGTAAAACCTTCTCTTGACAACACTACTCCAAATGTTTTGAAATTATTGTCATCGTTTATACAATTCCAGATGATTGGATCCACTAATGCACACTTCTGTATAGTGATTGAAAAGCCTCAAAGAAATTAAGGTTGAATGTTCAACTTAAGTTTGGCTACTTTTTCAGGTCTGCTTCATGTGGATACTGACAGCATTCTATCTAGGACACCGATACAAGTTACTTTCAATGGCTCAGCCCTCTCAACCTGCTGAAACATGTAGAAGATGATTTTTATACGCTTCACATGGAACTAAGGCCAAACATGAAGATTTTTGTATCTTTCAGCTCCTCGATGGTAAAAATAGCCACTTCCTTTTCTTCTTTGGATAAATTTCCGTTTAGAATGAAGCATGTTCTCCCCTTTGAATTGGTGTTTGCTTGTTGCTCCCACTTTACTCTATGCTATTCAACAGAGCCCTCGTAACAAAATACTAATGATTACATAACTGGAAGAACATTTTTAAAAGAAACTTGAAGAACCTTATCTACACCCAGAGGGACACTGAGCTGAAGTCGAGTTATTCTTGACTCTTGGAAGTGTGTGGCTACCAATAATCACTGGCACGTATTCATCTTTGATTCCTTTTCCCAATTTGCAAACTCAGTAGACTGAACCTATAGTAGAGGCAGCCTGAATTTCGGGTGCCAGCTGATAGCTGTTTAATATGACTCTGTTCTGTGCTAGGTCAAGTGGGAACCCTCCAAAACATGAAAATAATGCTTGTCCTCTTTGAGATTTTATTAGAAAATAGCCCCTCTCCAAGTCACTAACGTGAATATATGCTCCATCCTTGGTTCAAGGATGATGTCTCAAGTTCTGGCAGTTAAAGTTGCTTGTTCCAGAGCAGGGAATGGTTGTGCATCGACATAAAAGCTTGACACAGATTTTTCATTTGGAGAACTGGAGAAGTGAATCAGGAATCAACTATAATTCCTCAAATGCCGTGAATGCCACAATTTTTATACATTTTTGAGTAATTTTGATGTCTTTGCGGTTGTTAGTTTCTCATTGGTCTATCAGAGATCCATCTCTGTTGAGGGGCATTGTCCTGCAAGGCGTCCATTTTAATGGCCAACATATAGGATATAACCATTAGAGTATACTATATTACCACTTCTTCGATCCAATATACTATAGAAATGGAAGAAGAAGAAGAGGAGGAGGATGTGGTAGTGGTTTAATTGAAAGCCCCAACTTTCTTGTATTAATATAATAATCTTGCCTCCATTCTTAACCTTTGCCACATAGGATATATTGTGCAAAGGAAAGAGTCGCTCTTTTCTTAATTCAATACTTGGAGCGTCCTTTCGCCCAAGTGTTCTCCTATTTAGACTTTAACAGGAATCTATGGTTGTAGTTGTAACTAAATCTAACTTTTACCATAAATTGTCTAAATGGTTAGTTTTAATTTTTGTTGCTTCGGAGAATCTTCCTGTCCTGGAAGGATTTTATATGTTCTGAAGCAGCAGTTTATGTTTAGGTGGCATTATTATGTTTCCATGTGTGGTATTGGTACCAATTGTGGTTCACTAGTAATCTGTATTACGTGAAATATAATCAGTTCATAGAGATACTAAACAACTCTACCCATCAAAGATTATTAGGCATGATAAGTCATCTAACATTTTAATTTTTACTGAAAACTGAACCCTCATCTCCCATAATTTACCCATTTTATTTAACCGCAAGACCATATCCTTGAACGCATCAAACAATGCTGCGCCTACAAGATCAACTAATTGGCAGTTAACCCAGCAAATATGATAGAGGAGATGTGGTTAAGCTACAGCAATATAAAAGCTCTTTAGTATACGCTAATCTTGATTCACGCCACATTTTCTCCGAGGAATACATTTGTTTGCGCGTGTACCCAACCCTTTGCACAGATTTATTGCTCACTAGTCAATCTGCCCGCGCTTCACGCGGTCTTAAACATAAAATTTAGATGAAAATTTATTGTCAAATTTTTTTATAATTTTATTTTCTCTATTCTTCAACCATAACATTATCAACTGTGATGTAAATGCATTTTTAAGATTGGTTACTTATTTCTAAAATTATCCAGACTCACTTTCTCTATTTTATACACATGAAAGCATACACTTTACTTCATTGCAAGAACTTTATCGGGCTAATTTAAAGGTTTAAATTAAGTGATTAAATCTTCTTTTATCGATGAAACTAAAATTGGAAAAGTAGTTAATGTAATACACTTGAATGAATATAAATTATTGACACTGGTACCTTGTTGTATTATTTTCCATGTTTTCATGATATCCAAAACATCATGGCACAAAATAATGCCATCACTATTAAACAAAAAGAAAAGATCTATATATACTGAAAATTAAAATTCAACAAAACAAATAGTTTTTCTATATAATGTTAAAAGTTCAACACAAGGTTTAGTTTTCTATTTCTGTAATATCTTTGCATTATCATTCCTTCTCTAAATCGTACTTGGAGTATTTTGAATTTCCAAAATAAAATATTAAGGAAAAAAGAAAGAAATGTAACCTTTAAAACACTCGATGAATATTGAGAAAATGTCACTTTTGCGATAGTTAATCAAAGTTCACCTCAACGTTTAATTTTCTTTTGTGTCTCTATGTATTTTTGTGATACGATATTAATTCAAAGAATATAAAATATATGCCCGGTACCAAGCAATCAAGACAAAAACACAAATAAACAAATCATTTCCCAAAAATGAAAGACAAAAATGAAGATGAAAGAGGAGGAGGAAGAGAAATCATTAATTCCCGCTTCGCTTTATTTAGACCCATTTTATTTTTTTAATCAGGCCTATTCATTCTACAGAAATCTAAAACCACAAATGATAGTAATATTGCATGGAAAGAACAAAAATAAACTGTCAATCACAACATCATGTAAAATTCCCATAGAATATGTCTGATGATATATTTCCAATATTATGCAGGAGAAATAATTAAATATACAACACATTTTCCGTTACAAACAAAGGTATTTCTCCCACTTGACACACCAAGAAGCACCCATTGACACAATCACCTATACCAAATTCATTTAAATGTAGATTGAAATTAAGAATTTAACTGCAATACCTTTGTGTATCCAATTGGCATACATATATATATGTTGTAACAAAAAAAATCTTATACATATACACGAACACAGAAACTGTGAACACAACTTTATGAGAAGAAAGCAAGAAAATATAATAGATGCTTATAGATTTTCGATTGCTTTCCCCTCTGAAAAAGTTCCTGCAACATCTTTACAATCCTCAGATCATACATAGAGATAAGTTCCAATAATTTGTCACAAAATAAAGAATATAATTAGTTAGTTAACACAAAACATTGAAAGTTTTTTTTTTTTTAAAGAAAGCACACCTACTTCCACGATATGTCCAAGTATTGCTCTCAAAGGAAATATTGTCAAGGTGAAACAAATTTAAGCTCTGAAGGGTAAGAAGTAGCAAAAATAGTCTAATAGTAATCGGTTAAGAGGATGCATAGGCTATCAAGGTTAATAGTGCTGGCGGTGTTCTTTATTTTATATATACTTTTGACGATATTCTGCACCATAGAATGAGAAGCCAAATTTTTAAGCGATTGATTATAATAAGTTATGATGTACATGTTTTTAGGACCCCATTAAAAAATTAACAATACAATTATAACTTTTTATTACCCTCTCTAATTGCACAATAAATAAACAATAATTTGGAAGATCGAACAACTAAATAATTGGGATATAAAGGCAAAGAAAGGAAGTTAAAAGATAAATAGTTTTTCTGGTCTAAGAGAGGTGCCACAGATAATTTTGGATATACCAGGTTGAGAGAGTGTACCTGAAAAACTGGAACACCATGAAAGCTCTTTTCAAACGTTCCAATCCTTTTCTTTTCATATTTAAAAAGAGCCAGTAGAATATGATTACTTCAGATTATAGAATAAGAAAATTAACAGCGCACAAAATTATATATAAACATGTTAATTTATGTGAGAGATTTGAGGAAGGGACCACTGTTTTACCTTTGGGCTTCCATGAAACGTTTGGACTCTCCAATAAATACCCAAGAAACATTTCGAGCAACATTTGTTTATTTAATACAATTTTTTTAATTTATTGAATGTGAATAGAGAAGGTAAAAATGCTCAAAAAAAAAAGGAGATAAAAGATAAATAGAATTGCTAGACATAGAAGGATGCCACATCACCTTCTCCATGCCCAACTTTATTATATATATAGATTTTTTGGCTCAGTTATCTGTTAAATTCATTTGAGACTATTACAAACAAACCAAAGCTTGAATCATTGTACAAGGTTTTGAACGTCCAACAAAACTCAAAATAAGTTCAGTTTCTTTCCCAACTCCTTACATTCTCCAACTCTCCACCGATATGTAGCCAACGACATCTTCGTTTGTCCTATTGATTCGTCTTAAATATATAGGAGAAACAAAGAGATTTGCATAATACAACTTAAGACTACAGCAAGGATACGACTCAAGTGATTGAATGTGTCAAAAAATGAACGAGGTTGACCTAAAATCATGTAAAAAGAAGTTTGTCTTAAAATGTCCTACTGTAACTATAAATCTATGCAGACTTGACATAAAATGAGCCGTAGCTAATAACTATAAAAAATATACCTACTAGTTAGTCTACAGTTACTCGTCATTAATACACTTGCATAAACTTTGGCGTTCAACATGTGTTTTCTTAGTTGGATTGGAGATCGTATGACAACGTACGATAGCTATGACATTTGAAAATGAATAGTTTTAGAGATCCACAACTTGTTCTACACGGCACGGCATACTGTTGAATAATGAAATAAAATGAACCACAATGAATATAGAGGATTCATATAACTGATCTAAATAATTTGGAATCAAAGCGTAATAGTTATTGGTAATTCTCAGTTACTAGTTTATTTGACATGCTGTACTGTGACTAACATATTAAGCATGTAATATACTGTATATATCTAAATTGAAAATTCAATGGAAAAAAGAAAATTCCAAAAGCATAATTACAGATTCAATCTTCACTTTGCAAATTATAAGGAGACCGTCGTGAAGCAGTGCGAAGGTTTTATATTATTAATAGTAGGGTTGGTGAGTTGATGCAGAACCAGGAAAATCAATCTGCACCGTTCCATTATCATTCCTAATCATTAATGCCCAGACGATTAATCTTGGCTGCCAGACCATGTACTGGTGTATTTGACTCCAGCCTGCATGCACAAGCAAAGCCAATCAACAAAACTCAAGTAAAGTAATTAACCTTTTCAGACCCGTTCAACATTCAAATACAGAACAAGAGAAAGAACAGAGACAGAAACACAAAGGAATCAAACACAAAAAAGAAAAAGAAAAAAGAACGGAAAGGGATTGTTCTTCCATTAAAACAGACTGCAATATCATGTTATCCTGGGAAAAACATCACCTCTCTCGTAACACAACATAGCTAGTTGTACTGGTTTTCTGTATCTTCGCGATCCTCCTCAATACATCAGCAAAAGCAGCCTTATCCTGCATCAAATTAATTAATGAAATCACACAAGGAAAGGAGGAATCTACCATATCACAAGAAGTAAAAGCAGTGTCAAATCTTGGCTGACATGCAGTTATGCTGAGGAAATCCAGTTTTGCTTTACATTTTTAGGGTGTTTATTCACAAGATTAACTCAAATATGAAGAGGCTCAGACGCTATGATGCATTTGGTCAGCAACACAATTTTAAGTCGATAAATTTTTATTGCAATGCCTCCCTGCATTTACGAGCCTAATCTATAGGTCAGTGAGCAACAAACAGGCAAATCTGTCTTGACAAACCAGTCTTGTCATACCTCTGTACGTTGCAAACGAGATTTAAATTTGCTGACAAGATGCAGTGTGGTCACTGAGTTTCTCTGCAACAGAAAAGCTCTAATTTCATCTTCGGTAACAGGACCTGTGGCAAGACTTTGAGCAGTTTTGGGAAAGGGTGATGCACGCTTTATGAGAAAACTGTTATTCGCAGTAGATGAAAATTCATCTTCCACAGGTATTGCATCCTGCATGGTATGAAGAAAAGGAGATCGGCATTAATATAAGAAGAGAAAGAATCACTCCTTAGAAAATCAAGGAGTTAGTTAAAAGTAGTCTCAAAATCATAGCTTTGTTAAACAGTACAGGTAAGTCAGCTGACACGGAAATAAGAATCAACTTCCCAATTAAGAGTTTTCTCCTATATTCTTTAAACTAGAAGGACCAAAAGTGGGTATCCAGATTCCAGATGGGTGTGAAACATAAGATGCCTTGGACAGCATCTAATTTTCATGCAAAGGACACATCTAAAGCAAATAAATATCATGGATAGTAACTTCATACGGTTTCTGCATTTCCACTACATTCTCTTTGTGGACAAGTTGGGTCTTAGAAGTCCAACATTCTCTCCTCAAGACATTATTTGTGAACCATTATTCATGAAACATTAATAGTTTTACAATTATTCTGTTGAACTCCCTATCACCTAGTACTCCTGAAGCACTCGTATATTTAGGTCATTCAATTTTTATTCCGTGTGTTACATCTTTGCCTATCATGCCATTCCCCCAGAAAGACTATGCCCAAGTATCTAAAGTGTCAACATTTAAGAACCAATCTAATCTCATTTTTCTCATAGAGAATAAACTTGCAATATCTCTAATCTGCTTCTACTTATCGTAAAACTCTTATGCTCCATAGTACTTTTCCATGGTTCCTAGGTAGCACTACAGTTTCACACCTATGAACCTCTGAATCTGTAGGTCGACGCAGGACATGACCATACTATCTCAATCGACCTTCTCTCATCTTATCCTCAAGACATGCTACTTGCACATTCTGACCCTGCGCATAGCGAGAGCTTAGTGTACCGGGCTGCCCTTTTACTTGTATAAATATAACAAAAAAGTGTAAAAAGGAAGGTGAAGAAATTATAGGGTGGCAAAAGCTCTTGATCTCAGTGGGAGAAACGGAGGAAAGGATAATGTGGTTGGGTTAAATGGAGACAAAATGAGGGGAAGGATAATATACTACCGTAACATCTTCTACCAGCCATCACATCCTCCGTTGTCTATAGAAAAACAAAACGTGAATCTGTCTTTATTCAACAGAAGATAAGGCTTTATTTTTATAAATGAGTCCTACGGAACAAAAATTGGATTAAATATCACCTTTAAAAATCAATTCTCCAAAACTATAATGCAACTCCACATTGTTGACTGACAAAGTATTCGAATGTTCTTGCAGGACAAAAAATTGTTTGCTTCTGCCATACAATTTTATTTATCACTTAGCACTCAGATTGGGTACCTATATCCACGAAGTTTTGAATTTCTAACTACAAAAACGAAAAACTGGCATTTACTTAGTATTACTGCACTCTCAAATCAGCACCATCAAACTCAAACACACCGATATCTTAGCAGAAGCAAAAAACCTAGCCTATATGTCCACCTAGCCAATTGCCTCAAACAGAATGGACATAATGCTTTAAAAACTGAGAAACCCAAAGATTTTCACAAAATTTTGGCGAACACTCAGGAGCATCTATCAACTATATGTCTCAATCCCAAACTAGTTAGGATCGAGAATATGAATACTCAGCAGAAACCTACCTGTAACACAACATAGCTAGCTGTACCGGTTTTCTGTATTTTGGAGATCCTCCTCAATACATTAGCAAAAGCAATCTTATCCTGCATCAAATTAATTAATAAAATCCCGTAAGGGAAGGAGGAATCTACCAATCACAAGAAGTGATGTAAAAGGATTTTAAAAACTTGGCTGCCATGCAGTTATGCTGACTAACCAGTCTTGTCATACCTCTCTACATTTTAAACGAGATCTAAATTTGCTGACAAGATTCAGTTTGGTCACTTGTTTTCTCTGCATCAGAAAAGCTCTAATTTCACCTTCGGTAACAGGACCTGTCGCAGGACTTTGAGCCGTTTTGGGAAAGGGTGATGCACACTTCATGAGCACACTGTTATTGGCAGTAGATGAAGATTCATCTTTCACAGGTATTGCATCCTGCACGATATGAAGAGAAGGAGATCGGCATTAATATAAGAAGAGAAAGAATCACTCCTTAGAAAATCAAGGAGTTAGTTAATAGTAGTCTCAAAATCATAGCTTTGTTAAATAGTACAGGTAAGTCAGCTGCAACGGAGGTAAGAATCAACTTCCTGATTTAGAGTTTTCTTTTCTTAGATTCTTTAGACTAAAAGGACCAGAAGTGGGTTTCTAGATAGGTGTGAAACTTGTGATGCCTTGACAGCATCTAATTTTCATGGAAAGGAAACATCAAAAGCAAATAAATATCATGGATAGTACTTTCGTACGGTTTCCGCATTTCCACTACATTCTCTTTGTGGACAAGTTGGGTCTTAGAAGTCCAACATTCTCTCCTCATGACATTATTTATGAACCATTAATGTTTTACAATTACTCTGTTGAACTCCCTATCACCTAGTACTCCTGAAGCACTCGTATATTTAGGTCAGTCAATTTTTATTTTGTGTGTTACATCTTTGCCTATCATGACATTCCCCCAGAAAGACTATGCCTAAGTATCTAAAGTCTCAGCATCTAAGAACCACAATCGGATCTAATCTCATTTTTCTCATAGAGAACAAACTCGCAATATCTTCAATGTGCTTCTACTTAATTATCATAAAACTCTTACGCTCCATAGTACTTTCCCATGGTTCCAAGTTCCAACTCTTTGTTAGCAGTAGCTACTTCCTTCAATTAACATAATATCATCTGCAAAACGAATGCTTCATGAACGCTCTCATTTTGTATACTATTAGTTACCTCATCCATAATTGGGATAAAAAGTACAGACACAATACAAATCATTGGTTCTGAAAAACTCAATCTCTTCCACTATCCTCACATTTGTTCCCGCTACTTTGTTCACATGTTTTAGAAGAATATGTATCCTTCTTCCTTCTCAAGCACTCCCCAAAGGTTAATATATTTCATTCAATCATATAAATTGTGCATCGGACAGCCTTATAAAGGCTTCTCTCTAGCATAAATATGTTTTAAACTCATTTATCAAACAAGAATAGAAGTGAAAAATATATACAAATAAACTTATCAAAAATATTTATATACAAATAATAGCAATAATAATAACAAAAGTTATCTATCACTTTTACTGGCATATAAATCTAAGGTAAGGTCAAAATACTCCTAGAAAAGCAGTAGGTTCAAAACCAACGTACTAACAAGACTACCTATTACCAACTAATAGATATCACCTATATGGATCTCATTAGTTAAGTCTGCATTGATTCCAAAGAATTGTAGATCTTTCGAGACAACTTCCTTCCATGTGATTTTAAGTCTACCTCGTCCTCTTTTAACACCTTCACCACGACAGTTACACACCTACGGACCGATGCATCCGTAGGTGACGTAGGACATGACCATACCATCTCAATCAACCTTCTCTCATGTTATCCTCAATATGTTCTACTTGCACCTTCTGACGAATGTGACCATTTTTAAGCTACTGGTATGAATATAACAAAGAAGAGTAGATTAGAAGGTGAAGAAATTATGGGGTGGCAGAAGCTCTTGATCTCGATGGGAGAAATGGAGGAAAGGATAATGTGGTTGGGTTAAATGAGGATAAATGGGGGGAAGGATAATATACAACCGTAACATCTTCTACCATCCATCACATACACCATTGTCTATAGAAAAACAAAACGTGAATCTGTCTTTATTCAACAAAAGATGAAGCTTTATTTTTATCACATGAGTCGAACGGAACAAAAAATGGATTCAATATCACCTTCAATAATGAATTGATCGCCAAAAAACTATACACATGCACCTCCACATTGTTGACTGATAAAGTATTCCAATGTTGTTGGAGAAGGACCAAAAATTGTTAGCTTCTGCCGTACAATTTTATTTATCACTTAGCACAAGCAAAAAGTATATCAGACTGGATGCCTATATCCACAAAGTTTTGGATTTCTCAACTAGGGCAATGAAACCACTAGCATTTACATAGTGTTACTGCACTCTCAAATCAGCACCATGAAACTCAAACACATTAATATCTTTACAGAAGCGAAAATCTAACATATGTCCACCTAGCCAATTGCCTCAAACAGAATGAAGGACATAATGCTTCAAAGACCGAGAAACCCAACGCATTCCACAAAATTTCGACGAATACTCAGGAGAAACTACTATCATCTATCAACTATGTCTCAATCCCAAACTAGTTGGGATCAAGAATATGAATAATCAGCACAAACCTACCAAGCACCAAACGGCCTAGTGGTCAATAAACTGGGAGGAGAAAATAACGATCACTAGCTACAATTGAGACATTAATTAACTATGGCGAAGGAATAAAATCTCGAAACGTACTCGGATCATAGGAGCGCCGCACTCGCTGCACTTACCGCAAGCCTCAGCCATAATCAAAATTGCATGAGAATTGAAGGGGAAGGCCCTTATTTATAGATGGACCCGACGCCAGTAACTTTTTTTGGTTCTGTTTCCTTTACCGCCTCAAGTTTGGAAAATTGTTCTTTGGGGAGTTGGGGATAATAATGACTTTTTGAAAAAACTTTATTTTATCCTTTTCTGAAAAATCTTTCTTTGTGTGTGTGTGTTCACATTGTGTAGATTATTTAAATTTTAATTTGACTCCACATAAATATCTAGTAAGCACAAGTTACCAACCTAGAAACAATAAGGTAGGTAACTAGTTGGAACGGATAGAGTCCATCAAAAGTTATATACCATCGGCATATAAAACTTAGGTTGTGCATATTTGTAACAAATATATAATCTCATAATAATCTAACAAAATTGGAGTATTCTGTGAGATACATCTGTAGTAAAATTATATTAGTCAATATTGTACTTTTTTTCTTACACGTCAAGATATTTATTGTGACGATATTGCTAATAGCATAGATATCCAATATCTATGTCACCTTTTAATCTATTTTTGGTTTAATTGTTGTGATCAGATGTATCTATACATCTATCTATACACTATATTAAAAGTACGAAGGCTCTAAGCGAAATGTCGTTCGCCTTTTTTAACCTTAAAAAAAGTTTTTATATTGGACAAATTTGTAATTCAATTATTTTCCTAATATTTAAAGTTTTAAAATCAATTAAACTTTTGGTTATTTAATCTTTCTTTAACTTAACCATGTAGACTATACTAATATTTAGGACTTTATAATCATTAAGATTTTACCATATAAAAATTCTACTTCCAACTATGTAGTCAACTAAGATTTACCTCATATAAATCTATATCTATCTATCTATCTATCTATCTATCTATATCTATATCTATCTATATCTATATCTATATTATTATAAAAGCACGAATAATTTATGTTAAATATTGAACGACTAAAATATCCTTAAAATATTGATCGACTTTTATGCCCTTAAATATTTACACAATTTAAGGATATAATTGTAAATCACTGATGATAGGCTATAATTGCATATTTTAGTCGCTTATTACACTCGAATTTACTGCACTTTAATTGAGTTTGCGCTTTAATCGCTAGTGTTTTACACTAATTGTGTGTTTTATGCCTTGTAGGTGTGATTCCGAGCTATATAGATGTTATGGAATGAATTTAAGTGATTTGAAGCTTTGAAGTCTGAGTAAAAGCTCAAGGAATTAAGTCGGATCGTGTTCGGAGGTCAAATTTGATAATTAAGTACGAACGAAGACTTGAGGAGGCATATTGCGCACTGTCTAGTAAAATAGACATAACTTTTTGCTCAGAACTCCATTTGGGCTCCACAATATATGGTTGGAAAGCTAACTCAAAGGACTACAACTTTCATGTTTTACGTTTTTCCAAATTCCAAACGGAACAGGGTGAAAAATCGCGGTTTTTCCGCGACCGCGGCAGAACCGCGGTAGAAGATGGTCGCGGACAACTGAAGAATCAGAGGGCATGTTTGGCCGCGGTTCCACCGCGACTGCGGCAAAACCGCGGCAGGAAGCGAAAATTTTAGGGACTAAAGTGCAAAACATGGGATTAAGTCCTAAACTCTATATTAAACAAAGGAGGTCGGCCAAGAACAAGAGGGGGACATATTTTGGACATAGATTCGACCTAAGGAGGCAAGAACACATTGGGAGCAAGGCGGAGAATTCTTCTACGAGTTTTTTTTTCTTCCTCTTCCTATTTTTCATTGTTGGTTATGACTTTTAGTATTGTAGTTTTACATACTATTATGAATAGCTAATTTGTTATCTAGAGTTTTGATAGAACCTTTTGTAGGATAAATTCTTGTTATGTTTTTATATAATTGAGCCATAGCCTTTTCTCTATTTGTTCAACTACGTTTATATTGTGGTTGATTGAAGAGCTCTCAATTAGCTGTGCCTATTTAGTATGCATAACTCGGGAGAGAGTGCATATTTAGGTAATTGTTGAACACCACCACTCCCAGAGTATATGAGGGATCAATAACCGAGGGTTTAAAGGCGGGATTAGGGATAACGAAGCCTTGGGTGCGATCTGAAGTGAGCTGTATTAAAAGCCAGCTAGCGTAGCTCGGGAGAGTGCGTCTAGTAAATTGTCGTAATTACTCGGGAGAGATTTACGGTAATAAGAGTGCTCATGATCGGTAGAGAATACTTAGGCGAAACTATAGAAGACATAGCGGGAAGGATTCCGACAATAGGGGAAATCATAACTCTAGACCTCCTTAATCTTTTCTCTAACCCTCAGTATCGTTAGTTGTTAATTTACTATTTTAATTTGTTAGTTAAGTAGTTAAACAGAAGAATCTTAATATCTATAAGTTAGGAATTGTTCAAGCTTGTCTTCTTGGTGATAGTGAACAGCTGTAGCTAAACCTTAGTTCTCTGTGGGATTCGACTCCGGACTTGTAAACCGAATTATATTTGCAACGACCGCATTGTCCTTTTTATAAGGCATTATTGGGCGTGATCAAATTTTGGCGCCGTTGACGGGGAACTAATGGTGTAGTTGTAGGTGTACATATTGCTAGGTTTCAAGTTTGAACTTTTATTTTATTATTTGATTTTTTTTAATTTTTTTTATTTTAGTTCTATTTGTTTATTTGAGAAACATGACATCATGGAATTATGAGAATTTTGTTGTTGGTAATTCTACTTTTGATCCTCCTTATGCATATTGTGAAGGAAACCACCCAGGGCAAAATTATCAAAATATTCCTGAGAGCGAGTTTTGTGCACCAACTCAATCTTGTGTGTGGAATGTGTGTGATATGTGTGGTGGTCAAGATGGTCACTTTCACCGGTTGTGCTTATATTTCTTACCTTCCCCCAACCCCTTACTTTGATGGTTCTTCTTTTTCTGGTGAAGTTAATAGGAACAAAGAACCTAGGGAAGTTGACCTAAAGAAGCTCGAAGATATGTTAAAGTGCATTTTTGGAACAACGGAGTAAATTACTACTGCGGATGAAAGGCAGGAGGAAACTATTCACA